ATATACTATTACATACTACAAAATTTTACAACTAAAAAAACTACAAATAAACTACAAATCAGTTTTAGTATTGTATAAAGCTGTATTGTTTTTAAGGGTATCTACAAAATTACTACATTTATACTACAATTAAACTACAATCTATGTTGAAAAAAATGTTGACTACAAAATTTTCTCTTCATCTACAAAATTTCTTCAAAAAAACTACAAATAAACTACAAATCAGTTTAAGTATTGTATAAAGTTGTATTGTTTTTAAAAGTATCTACAAAATTACTATATTTATACCACAATTAAACTACAATTTATGTTGAAAAAAATGTTGACTACAAAATTTTCTCTTCACCTACAAAATTTCTACAAAAAAAAAAACTACAAATCAATTTAAGGTTTCAGGGTGAAGCTTAGTCTTTAAAAGTTGAATCTTTGAATCAAAGTCAGAAGAAGGGGGAGGGGATTGATTGGTTAGCAGCAGTAATAGACACAAATCGAAAGTTCATATGCTCTCCCCTGGCGAAGATCGTTTAAAGGTTGAGGGCTTCATCAGTAGACGTGGATCTGAACTTGCCTTGAAGTACTTATGTGAAAAATTGGGTGGATCTTTGTTTGAAAAGCTTCCTAAGCTGTGGGACTGCTTAGTTGAAGTTCTTAAGCCTTGTAGTCTTGAAGACATGACTGAAGAAGATGAAAAAGTTATTACTTGAGCTATTGAGTTGGTTAAAGATTATCAGAACTTGATTAACATATGTAACAAAATTGCAATTTCCATCTCTATATTTTTTGAGAAGAAGAAGGAATGGAGAAGAGGAAGAAAGAGGAGGGAAAAAAGGGCGTAGGTCTTAGGAATTAGGGGGATAGAGAAACGTGGGATATATGGATACCTTTAATTAAGGAGTAAAAACTGCCCATTAATTAGACCCTTAATTAAGTATGGTATAGGATTGGTAATTTGGTATACTAAGTGTAATTAAATTAAATCTTAAGCATTGAGGGTAATAAGGTTTCATATATGGCATAGGAATGTAAAAATCCCTTTTGTGAATAGGTATGCATCAATTCTCAAAACAAGCAAATAAAGAAAGAAAACAATAGCAGTTTACAGGTTCACGTTCAATGGTTGAAAGGGGCTAAATTATTCGTTTTTTTATATGTTCATTTTGTCACAAATGGAAATTGAATTACACAAAATTAAGGATGAATAGGACAAAACTGAGTAAGGAAATTCACGAAAAAAAGAAAGAAAAGCGCCCATTTCGTTTGCTCCCCACCCCCACCCTCTTTTCTACTTCTATTTTATTCCTTTTTTAATGGCTTCCAATTTACTCCTCAAAACTGACGCACTTATCTTTTTATTAATTTTGAATTAATTTATCCTTAATAAAAATAATTTAAAATTAGGAAAGTATTTCTCAAGAGTATAATTTCAAAAGTTGTTTGTTTAAAATTTTGATAGTCAAATAATATTATTATCAATTGGGATGGTAGGAGTGTCTTTATTCTAATGTACGTTTCCATCGAAGTAAAACATGAAAGTTTGACTATTATATTCTTATTGAATATGCTTAAAAATTTATTTATTTGGGTTTGGGAGTGGGCATAGTTTGGGCAAACCAGAAATCCAAACCGAAGTCCGAATTGTTTGAATTTTTGGTTTAGATTTTCGATTTAATTTTTAAAATATTTGGATTTTAGATTGGATTTGGTACTTCAGATTTTTGGATATCCAAAAATTCGAAATTTTTATATTTTATATTTAGTCCATTATTCATATGTCAATAGTAATAACTACAATATCCTAATCATTAGACATAATCTCAAATATTCAATACTAAGTGCTAAGTTACTATCAGAATACTTTCTATTTGGACATGATTTTACTATTGCTACTTCTTATCGGTCTTACTAATATTTTTGTTGTATTTTCTTGATAATATTACTTGAATACTTTATTTGGGTGATTGCGGTAAAATAAGGAGCTTTTTAAGCTAGCAATTTGACATGAATACTTTATTTGGATGATCATTATCGTAGAAAGAAGAAACATCTCAACTTATAAGCTCAAAATTGAAAATCCAAAATATCCAAACCAATTAATCCGATCCAAACTTAAAAAGTTCGATCCAATCCGACGTTATTTGGATTGTCATTTCTTCAATCCGAAAATCAAAAATCCAAACCGTCATACCAAGCCGAATTGTCCGAACGCCTACCCCTAGATATAATGGGCTTTAAGAAAGTTGAACTTCTTTACATAAAATGAGAATTTAAAGTTGGAATTTAATTTACTTTTTGAATCCCAATTTATGTGAAATTTTTTTCTCTGTTTTCTAGAAAAGAATGATAACTTTCTATATTTTTTAAAAACTTAACTTATAAACTTTTTATTTCACATTTATAGTCAAGAAAAACTAATAAGACTTGTTTTTTACTATAAATTTGAAAAGATTTTTTCTTTAAATTTTATGACAAATCAGAAAACCTCATATAAATTAGAACTAATGGGGTAATATTCAATTCAAAAGATCGTTTACGTGACAAATTGATTCCTTTTATGATAAGCATTTGTATACAGTCAAAAACATATGCCTTCGATCTATAGGCTCGAGGGGTCGTCTTAAGTCCGAGTTCAGGCAAGATCGAGTTCGAGCTCGATGGACCAGACTCGAGCTCGAAGATAGGATGCAATGCCCGAGGATCGAAGTGCCATGAATACCGACGCCGAGTATACTCAACCCCGAAATAATGCCGTTATGGATTTCTAACAGAATGAGCGGGATTCCTGCTACGTCCCTAGAATTATGGTGCAAATCCCAAAATAGAATTTTACGATTCCGTACTAGGCGGTTAGCAGCTGTCCCAATAAGATTCCTTACTGTAAATGGAAATATACCTTATTTAGGGTTCCCCTATTATATAAGGGGACCCCAATCATTTGTAAACATCATCTAATCATTGGCAAAGAATGTACTATCTTATTTTTCTGGCTCGAGGCCGATATTGGTTCATCTCTTTACTATTCTTGCTTTATTGTTCTTGGTTCATCTCGTGGTCACTAAACTCGAGGCTGATATTGTTTGGTAACACTGGTTTGATTCATTCGTTTCTTTCACCTATACTTTATATTTCTTGATTATTAATTGGTATTGAACTAAATCACATATCTTTAAAACCACAAATCAAATTTAATTGTTACTCGTATTTTTGAGGTAAACAGTTTGGCGCCTACCGTGGGGCTAAAGATAATAGTGATTATTTCATTACCGATTCTCATTACACACGTTATTTTTACACTTTTTCTTGTCATGATTTTCTGGTTCTCAGGATTAAACATGTCAAACTCGCAAAATACACCTATTTATGACAACGAAGGTCTTGGATTTCATGGGGAAAACAACAATGTAGGGGTCGGTGTACCACCGATAAACCCATGGCAAATGCAAATTGTGGAACCAGTTGGCATTAGTTCGCACATTGCTTTAAATATAGATCTAGGCACAGACCCTTGAGGGAGTGTACGCAGGGAAGCCCGATCTTGGGGCCGAGGAACACCAGGTATAGGAGATGGGGAAGTCAGCCTCCAAGTGATATTCGAGATGCTGCAAGCTCAGCAGATCGCCATTGCTCAACTTCAGAGTCAGAATAAAACTCCAAGCATAGCCGAACCAGAAAACACTCGATGTGCTGAATCGGCGCCAGATAGGTCAAATGAAAATGGCTCGGGGACTGACCCCACTATTATGAAAATTCTCGAAGAGCTCACCAGGAGGATCGAGTCCGGGGAAAAGAAGATTGAAGACAACGACAAAAAGGTGAAAACTTATAACTCCTGTGTTGATCAGATACCGGGGCACCTCTAGTCTTGAAGGGTTTAGATGCCAAAAAGTTCATACAAAAACCATTCCCTCAAAGCGCGACTCCGATGCCCATTCCTAGAAATTTTGCATGCCCGATATACCCAAATATAACGGGACAACCGACCCTAATGAGCATATTACCTCGTATACTTGTGGGATTAAAGGAAACGACCTGAATGATAATGAGATCAAGTCCGTGTTGTTGAAAAAATTTGGGAAAACTTTGTCGAAAGGAGCCATAATTTGGTATCATAACTTGCCTCCTAACTCTATTTATTTGTCTGCTATGTTAGCAGACGCCTTCCTGAAAGCACACGCCGGAGCCATAAAGGTGGCAACGAGGAAATCGGATGTATTCAAGATAAAACAAAGGAACGACGAGATGTTGAGGGAGTTCGTGTCCAGGTTTCAGATGGAGCGAATGGAATTACCACCGATCTCGGATGACCGGGCAGTACAGGCTTTTATGCAGGGTTTGAATGAAAGGAGTTCGATTGTGTCCCGACAATTAAAGCAGAATCTGATCGAGTATCCAGTTGTGACGTGGTCGGATGTACATAGCCGTTACCAATCAAAGATTAGGGTCGAGGATGACCAGTTGGGAGCCCCCTCGGGTTTAGTTCATCCTAACAGATCGGCAGCTAAGCCCCCAAGGGATATAGACAGGAAATCGAGGTCAAACAAAGAACGGTATTAGCCGTATATCGATCGAAGAAACAATGGTTCGGGCCGAAATGCCCCTCGAAATGATCGAAGAAACGATCGAGGTCAAAACTCTCAAGGACTCATGAGAAAGAGCGGGTTTGATAAACACACCGAACCCTCGGAGGCACCTCGATTGTCAGAGTATAATTTCAGTGTAGACGCATCAGGGATTGAGTCAGCTATTGGAAGAATCAAAGATACCAGGTGGCCCAGGCCTATCCAAACCGATACTTCTCAGAGGAATCCAAACTTGATGTGCAAGTATCATAGCACACACGGCCATAGGAGCGAATAGTGCAGGCAGCTAAGGGAGAAGGTGGCTCGGTTTTTCAACGAGGGTCACCTTCGAGAATTTGTTAGTGATCGGGCTAAAAGCCACTCCAGGGAAAGAAATGCAAGAAAAAATAAGCAAGAAGAACCACAACATGTAATCCATATGATCGTTGGTGGTGTCGACGTCCCACAAAGACCCGTATTCAAGCGCACCAAGGTGTCGATCACCAGAGAAAAGCGGATCGGAGCTATGTGCTCGAGGACGTCCTTTCATTCTATGATGAGGAAGCAGAAGGCATATCTCAGCCGCACAATGACGCCCTGGTAATTTCTATCCTTTTAAATAAAATTTAAGTTAAACGTGTTCTAGTGGATCCAGGTAGCTCAACGAACATAATCAGATCGAGGGTCGTAGAACACCTCGGCCTACAGGATCAGATTGTACCTGCATCCCAGGTCCTAAATGGCTTTAACATGGCAAGCGAAACAACAAAAGGGGAGATAATCTTGCCAGTCAACATAGCCGGGACCATAAAAGATACAAAATTCCATGTCATCGAAGGCGACATGAGGTATAATGAAATCCTTGGGAGACCATGGATACATAACATGAGGGCGGTACCTTCAACTCTTCATGAGATGATAAAGTTGCCAAGGGAGGATGGCGTAAAAGCGGTTTATGGAGAGCAACATGCTGCAAAGGAAATGTTTGCAGTCGATGAAGTGACGCCGATACCTATGATGACCCAAGGGGTAATCTTTTATTTTGGAATCCGAATCCGGGTTCCGAGGCCTTGAAAGCCTCATTTTCTTTCTCCTCGATTTATGTGCGCAATCCGGACGCATTTCCGAAAAGCCCGTATGTGAAATCT